GGTGCTAGGCGATGCGATACGTGTGTTTATGCTGGTTAGCTGTGCTATCAGTATACATATTGGTGGACATAGTACCAAAGAAAACAGCCGTTATTATCACCACCGAGTCCGAAATGGTCACGTGACCGCGTCACGGTCTCCACTTGATGATTTACATATGTTTTAAGAATAATGACAGGGTTGGCAGAATTCGTCGCTAACGGATTTCGAACCGTAATCAGTGAGAACACATCTGGAAAAAATAAAAAGAGTCGAAGGTTTGGGCGGCGCCAGACGGTTGTAAAGAAGCATTGAAGTCGAACTACACACACGGTTACTCTATCGGAGCAACTGGAGAGATCAGGACAACACATTTCTCTGCAGAGCAAGACCAACGCAACAAACAGCTCAAGTCATATACTTGGTATCACCAGAGACGCGTATAACCTAACGATCGCGAATAAAACATAGTTAAATCGGTGAAGTTTCGGTTCGACGAGACTGTTTTGCCTACGTGCCACGCAACAATATAAGTTGCGGAACTCAAGAACGTCAGAGAGGGTGACAGTGTTGCCCATCGGTCTGAAACTAACTAGGTACACTGTGAACACATGTTAGGTGGGAATGAAGCATTAAAAAAATGATTGGTTTGAATATTCGTAGAAAGTATAAGTCACGATTAGACTGCACACAACAATCTGCCTCGACGGGGAAGCGAACCCCCAGTCCCAGGAGTTACCGCTTCGCTGCTCTACCACTGAGCTACCGAGGACTGACGGTCAGGTGCACAATTTAATACATGACTTCTACTTGGTGCGCGACGTATTGCCAATGAGCTCACAGTATCTGTCCTAGTGTAGCAGATTGGCTCATTCATTCGTCACTTCCCAATGGACCGAAGTATCTGTCCTTCTGATGTCCAAAGAGCGATGGTAGATTACTTGTGGATTTTTGTGAGTAGTGTAATATTCGTAGAAAGTAGAGCCCCCAAACTATTGGCCTTTGGTGTAAGAGACCGGCCAACAGGGCGTTAGGGCACAGGTTCGGTCCAAAAGTAACCGTAAAAGTTCCCAGGAAGTTGGAAGAGATGATACATAGCTCTACAAGAGATCGAACAATACGCCTGTGCCAACGGTAGATGATAAGTGCATTCCGTGGATTTGCATCTTATCAGGCAGAAGAAGTTTGACTCGCAACCGGCTGTAGCGGACCAGTGAGCAATCGCTATGTCCTCTCGCCATCAGTAACAACTCGTAGTGCCCACACTGCACATCATTCGAGCTGATATGGTGCAAATCGTTGCATCTCAGCACTGCTTGTTCGAACAAAAATCATGGACTCATCTGACATGGTTGGCGTTGAAGTGAAATCATTCCAGCGTGTGGAGCATCATGATCATCGTTATACACGTTAGCTGTAGGTGGAAAAAACAGCTATTGTGCCGCAGTACAAAAGAAAAAAAACATGAAACAGAAGCACGCCGGCTGAGTCACCAGAAACGGATGGGCATCATTCCGGAGAGTTAACAGGTGCCTATTGTGCCGCAAAAACGGAGTTATATTATGCCTAATAAATGAGATCGTGGGTGGAAGGGGTGGGCTAAGCGGGAGATGGAGGGACAATGAAACTCACAAAAAGATATTGTGGTCGGCTCCAAGCCATGTATGCAGCTAAACGTGTTCATCACCCTTCGGACAACAACCAGGGAGCCGAGAGGCTCTAACCGAGGTCAAATTAGAAGTAAGGGCCTTCACTCCTCTTGACGAAGTCGTCGCTGGGCTCCTCTCCTCTTCTTCCAACCAAACCCCGGCGCGCAAGCAATGCACATTGCGGCAGTCGGTGGGCTGGCATGCACAACATGTGGCCGAGCCATGGGAGCCTGGTGCGTGATATAACGGTGCTGTGCGGTTCGCTTCTTCTTCATGCACGATAGACAAGGCGTTGAACACGCTCACTGCTCACAGCATGTTCCCACCAGATATGAGCCAAACTAGCGCGTGGAACAGGGAAGCACGAAACTCACAGCATATTATATACCAGTTCACTGTGATTAAATTCAGAAAAAAGCAAGTGGCTGCTGAGTATCACATGGATGTGCAAGCGCATGTCAATAGACTAAAGTGCGGCACGGCTGCGGATAAATCACTGAACCTGCTGATGGTGATGGGATAACGTCGAAAAAATCTGAAGCAGAAAGCCGTATCGAGTAAGTTTTCGTTACTAGCAGCATAACACGCTGCAAGTAATAAGAGAGAATAAACACAGCGCGATTTCGCCGAAGAAGTCCAGTAACAGTAACCAGTATCACTGGATATCCCAAACGGTGACGTGGGGTGATGATTAGAAGCTACATTCCTTCCGTAGCACAAGGCCAAATGAAGAAGCAGGTCGAGGAAAAGCTAGGGCTTCGATGAAATGTGAGAAGGCTGTGCTCAACTGACAGTGAACACCGGGAGCTTGGCTGTCAGTTCCGTTAGGTGCGATCAGTGAGCTGTTGTTGGCGGTGACCGGGGAGGACATAAGGGTAAGTGTAGTTGAAGAACGGAACGTGGGGTGATCTGTAAGTGGAGGTTGAGCAATCTAGTCAGCAGAGCCAATAGGCACAGAAAGAGCGACGGTTTCCTCTGATCAAGCTTTTCAAGCACTCGTTTTCGGCACTCGAAGTGACAGACTGCTACCTGGCACCGGCCCACTCACACGCAAAAGTAGTGTCAGCATGATCATACAGCAATAAACTACAGATGGTGTGAAAGTGCAACTGAATGCCGATCGTACAGGTCAACTTGTCTGGACTCCGATCACGCACTGGTTTGTGCGAATGATTGGATACTTTTCGAAGGAGCGCCCAAGGGTACGCACTACGGATCGAACGTCGCAAATCTACGAAACCCTACGACCTTAAGCAAATACCAAGCCACACTATCAACACTAACTGGTTCAGCTACTGACGATAACCTTAATTCGCAATGGGTGCGTAACAAAGATGCCTTCATTTCTGCTAGTATCGACAGTACTGGAGTTGTCCGTCACTCGCTGGATCTCCGCTGATAGACAGGGGCCGCCCGGTTCCCGCCGATGCTAGTTGTGGTGAAGCACGCTGATCACTGGGTCGAGAAGTATGCATGTTTACAAACGGACCGCGAAGCCTGGTGGTGTGAATGTGATGGGAAGATCGAATTTGTTAATCTCTCTGGTAACACCAGAAAACTTTTCCATCCCATCCGAGTCATCGAAGGTATCCCATCGGATGAATACTGAGTAAGAAATAGTTGTACGTAAAAATGGTGTGCATTGCATTACGGCATCTAGTAATCCTAAAGACTATAAGTTGCTAAAAATAGTCACCAATCCTTCAATACTAAGCGATGACAACAAACAAGCCTGCTGTGATCATGCAGACGTGGCCCGAGCATCAGTGTATGTAGCTGAGAAGAGGTTTACTTTTGCATTTACAAAAGGAACTGCAGCTAATCAAAGTGATGGAGGATTCAGTAAGGAATTCAAAGGTCATCTTGTTGCACAGATTGATCAGGCCACTCAGTTGGGCTGTGCCTCGCATCGCCAGGGAATAAACCGTTGATTTATTTATTTATTTAATAGATTGGGTGTAGTGAACATAATCCGACTATGAAGACGCACTTCTAGATAGTCAGTTCATTTAGACCTAGTTAATGAAAAGAGAATCCGTAACTGTGCGTACTTGTGAAGTGTTACAAGACGCTTAAGTATTAAAATATCCAGCATCAGCACTCAAAGTGGGAAGTGCGTGCTAGTGGAGCATCTCTCCTTATCAGTGCGATAACGGCGAAATTAAGGTTGGCTACTGATGCAGAATGACTTCCGACTCCGTTTTGTACTTGGCATATCCTTCCTGTCGGAAAATATGCATTCATTCAAGAGAAACTGCTGCCTTAAGGGGAATTTAGCATGCTGACTCCTAAGCAGCAGAGGAAGCATACGACCGCGAGTCCCTTGAGCAAGAAACCAACGTAAGTGTATTAATAGGAACCGGATAATATCATCCATGGTTGTGTGTTGGAGCAATAACTAGGAAGAAAACGGATATTTAGGCATGGAGCGTGAGCGTGAAGCACACAGGATGGGCCGGAAGATATGGAAGTATTGGCAGATGAGTGCATGTTAGCTGATCGATGGTAACTAACTTATTCGGAAGTTGTCCCCGATAGATGGTCAAGATTTTCGGCCTGCCATGGTTAGACTGCAATTAAAAGGAAGTGAGAAGAAGTGTAGACATTGAGGAGATAGGTTACGGGATGGAAGCCAGAAAGCTTGCTAGTTGACCAGAAATTAGTCAGTTTAGTTCGAATATTTGTGGGTGCGGGCAAACTGGCAGTACACCTAGCCCGGGTACGACTGGTGGTGGTTGCGTTGCACCGAAGCATCAGGGTGGCACAACGGTGTACTGTTGATGGCTTCCTTCGAACTTTCTACTTGATTGCAATGTGCAGATCAGAGGACTGATTTCCTAATTGAATCATGTGGTGAAATAAATGGGAAGGTTAACGAAAATCATCGATCTGAAGAGCAGAGAAGGTAACCTGTACGATACCCAGGAAATTGGGATAAAATGTATGAACTACCGGAATGGGCTAGTAGTTGCTGAACAGACAAAAAGTCACTACATTGCACAGGTATCCTGTGCGTTTGTGGATAATCGGATGACTTTCAATATCTCGGTGAGGCTGCTGCACCAAGAAAAATGGTTGTTGACAGCCAGCTACCGGCCATTGCGCATGGGCAAGCTATTGTCACGTTGCCTAATTAGATGCGAATGTCGCCGGAGCTGAGCCCCTATTTATTGAACTATCACTACAATGGGGAAGTGAAATTGAGTGAGAGAAAAAAGAGTGACAGCGGGTGGTCCGGTGTTCAATAAAGACAAAACTTTCGAACTGCGTCAACAGAACAACAACAAGTGCAAGAGATTACACAGGCCAAAATCCAATCTGGCATAAACTGGAGCAGTGGAGAAGCGGCTATTGGTGAAAAATGGAAGTTACCTGGTCATCACTCATGCTGACGAAAATGAGGGACACATTAGACCAAGTAGCAGAACAATGGGGTGTTTTGCCCATCGTGGTTGAAGTGGAGTTGAAGATTGAGGCACCACCATCCGTAAAAATCAAAATCTACCATAAAATAAGATAGGAAAGATAGTACCTGAACAAAGACAGAGGGTCCCCAGAACTTGTAAATTTCAAGTACGGTCCATTTGATAGCATCTTCAAGATTGGACAATGAACAGAGATCTGGTTCTTGCAGCCTCTCGATTGCTCCTTCCAGCTCAAGAACATCGCAAGAGAATTTACCCAATTGGTGTTCATGGCCAGAATTGGCTGGCTCCAGCTTCAGAAGAGCAAAACAAACAGAGAAGAATAAAAAAGGACACAGACATATGGTGTGAGTTCATCGGTTTTCATACCTCAAACAATGTACACACACACACACACCAATAGAATGAAATCGTTCAATACTGTATAGGTAGTGGATTCGACCCCAAGCCATCAGCGTAGAAGCACCGAAACTTCCTGGAAGACCGGGACAACCTAGCAGCATAATATACACAAGTGAGGCAGCCATCGAGTGCGCAGCAGAGACAACTGCTCGGGCTGAGAAACACTGCAAGTGTTCGACGTGCACATGCAAATGACACGCAGCAACCACATGTCATGAAGGTGGAACAAGTAGCAGCCCACAGCGGAGATCACAGCAAAAGGGAAAGTGGCTCCAAAAACGGATTAGGCAAGGAGAGGATAAAATACGTCCGCGTGTGCGACGAAAGATAAATAAAACTACAAGGGATTAGTTGTTATACCACAATGGATGTGTTAAGATGTGAAAGCTAACAACTAACTTTACCCAGATACATAGGTAAAACAGAGGGCACTGCTTGTATGTGTAAAATATAAACCAGATATCTGTTGTTGAGGACAGAGTATAACAGAGACAATATTGTTGGGTTACCCTAGGAAGACTAGGTATCGGAAGACGCTACCGATAAGGTAGTAAACATGTAATACTGTAGATGTTACGTAGATCCGGTTGGGTGACATCTGAGTCAAGGAAAGCCAAGAAAATGGTTTATGCTATTAGGACGGGTGAATGAATACTCAGCTGTAACACACACGCTTTCAACGATGTAGCATGATATAAATGCATTACAAAAATGTGGATAAATAAATGGAAAGAATACTGTCATATTGTAAACTGGTTGACTAATTCTCGGACGACATTGTTAGCGTTCACCGAAAAGCGCGCTCGTGTTCAAGCGTATATGGAGTTGTACTTCTGTCTGGATGAAGAGGTCGACACACGCTGATAATACACAATGAACGGGTTGACATGTCGGTCAGTATTGCTCACACTAGTCGCTTGCAAGAACCAACATGCGCGGACACAAAGATATAAGCACAAGGCCGCTTTGATGCACCATAGTATATGTAGTAGACAAAAAACCAATGTTAAGCAATACGTCCCGTGTGGAAGAATACAAGCAGTGACAAAAGGAAATACGACATCATATGGGCCAGAGAAGGTCCGCAGACGTAAGGCGTATAACGATAATCTCCTGAACATCGCGAACATTTTGTACACATGAGTTGACCAAGACAAATCGTAGTTAACCGTGACAAACAAGCTATACACTGAAGTGGTGGAATGCAAACCTTTCCCATCGATGTGAAGCACCGGGTACTGCTTGACAAGCTGGTGATACCTATCCCTGTGTCCTGAAAAACGACGTCATTGCACACTAAGACCCTAAGCGGCAGCTTAAGGGCTTTAGACCGTGATATATATATATATATATATATATACATATATATATATATATATATATATATACATATATATATATATGGTTGGCGGCATCCGGTTTCGGATTTGCCTGTCACTGTGGCCAACAACACGACGCCTGCGCCTACAGAAAGACCATGGGTGGCTTGCGCTACAACACTCACAGCTCCAACCCCATATCCAGTGTAAACCCGAAGGAATAAGACCGGGAGGCATGTAGATGGGAACCACGTGTCAGCAACGGAGCCGACCCCCACTCCCTCACAGGCAAACACAAGCACACTGTATTTGGGAATCAAGCGCACACAAGGCGGTGGCTGGACCGTAGTCCGCTCCACATTGACTGCATGGAACCACTCTTTGATCCTAACACGGCCACAAGGACCGTGCACCCTGTCCCCTCCAGCAATGACCAACTGTCTCCTGGAGCCAGTATGGACGAGGTAGCGGGTAATAGACACGTAGGCACCTTGTCAACATGCACATCAAGCACAGCCACACCGGGGATATCAAACAACAGCCAATCATTTGAGAGAGAGAGAGAGAGAGACAAGAAAATAACTCGATTAATGCATAAGGAAACGGTGACATAAATCTTAAGTTAATGAGCATATGTAATAAGTTGTTTACAAACGAATCCTAGATAAGTTCGCGAGGTTAGAAAGTATACTTTACGGAATACCTCGAACACAAAATGCTATGGGAATCGAATACAACTGGCTTAGGCGAAGCGTGCAAGTTAAAGGAATAGAGTACAGGTAGACATTTATAAGAGAAAGAAAAGCATTAAGGCAAAATTGAAAACCCACCACCACAAATAAAGAGACTTAGCATGCAAGCACGCGGTTAGTAAAAAGAATGCAGCGCATCTACAGACGCTGTGCCGGGTTTGAATGCTTATCTGCAGGACCCGGCGTCACTTCTATGGTGGTCCCGAGTGGCCTCGCGACCTCCGGCACCTGGTTAATCTTGGACGCAAATCATATATATATATATATATATATATATATATGATTTGCGTCCAAGCTTGGCCAGGTGCCGGAGGTCGCCAGGTAGCTCGTTGGCACCAGGAACGTCGGAAATTGGTGCTGGAAAGAAATAAGCCGTGATCGCGCACAAGTAGGGAGTTGATCGCAGTTGTCCTTCCTATAAGTACCGCAGCTGTGTTGACCAGCAGGTTCGCGCTCATGAACCTCTATAGCATTTCCCGCAAAGTTGCAAAGAAAGTCGAAAATTTTACAAAGAAAGTCCAAAATTTTGCAAAGAAGGTCCAAAACTTTGCAAAGAAAGTCGATAATGTTGAAAAACCCTGTGCGATTCGCCAGCCGCTCAGAGCCAATCCTCTGACCTTAAGTGTGTTCTCATTGGCCGGATGCCAAGGTTCGGTGCGTTAGTTTGGGGAGGTGAGCGCGCTGCTCGTTGACTGGGTGAGACTTGTGAATGAACCTTGGAGGAATGCACTTCGACGGTGCAACGGGCTTGTATGCGCCCCCCTCACGTCCGAAACGATGGATCACAATTGGTCTGAGAGCAATGAACAGCTGGAACATAAGCGCACGACCGAAACCATGTCTATGATTCTAACGTCGTCGGCATGCCTTCTCACGTTCGACAGAATATCTCATCAGATATTCGTGACCGAGTATTGGGCGCTTTCGTCAACGGTGACAACTGTGAACAACGTCAAATATCAAACAGCCTACTCCTGGATTCGTCGTTCTCTTGATCAGGAACCGAGTACTACGCAGGCGCGCGTTCGTAAACGGATTTTGTCGGAGGAAGACGTAGATGACATCCTGGATTGGATCGCAAGGGACTCAACTCTTACGCTACGGGAAATGCGAGTACGAGTACGAGCAGAAATGGACAAGGACATTTCGAAGTCAACAATTGCACGGCACCTAGATGGTCAATTGATAACTATGAAGAACATCTATCAGGTTCCCGAGGGAATGAACAATGAGCGAAACAAAAGAATACGCAGGGAATTCGTTCAGCAGTTTCTCCAATTTGAGAGCGATGGCAAGTTCTTCATTTGGATTGACGAAGCGAACTTCAACGTTTACTGCAAACGTACTCGTGGTCGGGCGCCCAGAGGAGTGAGGGCCTGTTGCAAAGTTGCCAACAGCAGAGGGCACAATTTACATTTAATCGGTGCACGCACGATGGCAGGGAAAGTGTCGATGACAACCCGATCGAGAATGTTTGGCAGGTGGTGAAGGTCAGAGTGAAGAATGAGATGAGAGTGCACTACGAGGAACTTCTGGCCGGGGATCCCCAGAAACTCATGACGCAGATGGAATGGAGGCTGCAGTTCCTTGAACGCATTGCCGAAGCAGCCACCAAGGATATCAGCGTTGTGGGATGTCCAGTTTGCCTGTTAGCAAAGACTTGTTAGTAACGAACCCTCAGACAGCGTGTTTGCTTCGGCTGTTAGCGACGGAGAGCAGCAGGGTTCTGCCATTGTCAAAAGAAGGCGAAAGAGGGGTAAAAAACGCGGCAAAACCAAAAACGGACTTGAGAGATCCGTCGGGCGCCCATTCCCCCCTCAAATTCTACAACTACGGAATCGTTGCAACTGGGAACATCTATGACATTAGAATCTATAAAAACGGACACTAAACTGAAAACACCGACGTCCATGGAGCGTTCGGTAAATACTCCGCGTCGCGGAGACTCGTATACCCACTGCAGTGTTATTTTCAGAAACGCCACTGAGTCTTCTGCTGTTCTCCCAAAACACCGTATGCTACATGACCTTAAGTGGTTTAGAGTATGCATTACCAAACTCCTGCCTCCCGGCTTCCCCGGTGTGACTGTGCACAAACTAACCAGACTCGGTAACTTGCCAGCCTACAAGTCTCTCCCTCGCTTGTTGCGAGTTGTTCTGTCCACTCCGGAGGGGCGCCAAGCACTTCTGCGTTTCGCCTTTAAGCTCAAGGGCACTGGTGTCGTCGTGCACCCAGGCCTCCCTTTGGCCGATGGGCTGAAATTGCTGGTAGCTGTGAAGGATGTTAAAGCCCGCCGGGAAGCAGGAGAAAAGGGGCTCCGCGTGGTTGGTTTTCGGGTGGTGAGCCGGCGGTCCACTTCCGCCCTACCAGAGCCGGTTCTGGTGGCGCACGATCCCGGACTCACAATGTTAAATCCCTTCAGGTGATCTTAAGCAATGTGCGTAGCCTGCGAAACAACCTGTGGGAAGTCGGCGCTCCTGTCCACGACTGCCGTCCAGATGTCCTCGCATTCACTGAAACGTTGTTGTTCACCGACGTCACGGACAGTGAAGTGTGCTTGCCAGGCTACGCACCGCTGAGATGTGCCCGCACCTCTGCTCGGCGCGGAGGTGGTGTTGCTTTTTACGTTAACTCCGCAATTACTGTCTGGGAGACGCATAGTTTCAGATCATCGGAGGGTGATGTTGAGGCACTCGCAGTTAACCTGTGTATTGCCTCCGCGCAACTTAAAATTGTGCTGGTCTATAGAAGCCCCGACGGCGTTGCTAAGGGGCTTGCTGATTTCATCCACGAGCATTCGGCAAATAGGTGTTTAGTGAT